GTGTCTCATGGGTCCCATGTACGGCCTCCCATTGCTGCTGTCTCCATCGCCACACTCTGCCATGTGCCACTTTCAGTCTCCTCACACTGCTGGTGTGTTCCATTTTTGTCATAGGGTGCTGGCAGATTACGGGCCTCCCATTGCTGCTGCCAGGCCTGTAATCTGCCATGGGCCCCTGTAACGCCTCTTCATGCTGCTGCCAGTCCAGAGTGTCTCATGGGTCCCTGTACGGCCTCCCATTGCTGCTGTCTCCATCGCCACACTCTGCCATGTGCCACTTTCAGGTCTCCTCACACTGCTGGTGTGTTCCATTTTTTGTCATAGGGTGCTGGCAGATTACGGGCCTCCCATTGCTGCTGCCAGGCCTGTAATCTGCCATGGGCCCCCGTACCGCCTCTTCATGCTGCTGCCAGGTCCAGAGTGTCTCATGGGTCCCTGTACGGCCTCCCATTGCTGCTGTCTACACGCCACACTCTGCCATGTGCCACTTTCAGGTCTCCTCACACTGCTGGTGTGTTCCATTTTGTCATAGGGTGCTGGCAGATTACGGGCCTCCCATTGCTGCTGCCAGGCCCGTAATCTGCCATGGGCCCCTGTACCACTCCTCATGCTGCTGCCAGGTCCAGAGTGTTTCATGGGTCCCTGTACGGCCTCCCATTGCTGCTGTTTCCATCGCCACACTCTGCCATGTGCCACTTTCAGGTCCTCACACTGCTGGTGTGTTCCATTTTTTGTCATAGGGTGCTGGCAGATTACGGCCTCCCATTGCTGCTGCAAGGCCTGTAATCTGCCATGGGCCCCTGTACCGCCTCTCTTCATGCTGCTGCCAGGTCCAGAGTGTCTCATGGGTCCCTGTACGGCCTCCCATTTCTGCTGTCTCCATCGCCACACTCTGCCATGTGCCACTTTCAGGTCTCCTCACACTGCTGGTGTGTTCCATTTTTTGTCATAGGTGCTGGCAGATTACGGGCCTCCCATTGCTGCTGCCAGGCCTGTAATCTGCCATGGGCCCCTGTACCACCTCTTCATGCTGCTGCCAGGTCCAGAGTGTCTCATGGGTCCCTGTACGGCCTCCCATTGCTGCTGTCTCCATTGCCACACTCTGCCATGTGCCACTTTCAGGTCTCCTCACACTGCTGGTGTGTTCCATTTTTTGTCATAGGGTGCTGGCAGATTACAGGCCTCCCATTGCTGCTGCCAGGCCCGTAATCTGCCATGGGCCCCCGTACCGCCTCCTCATGCTGCTGCCAGGTCCAGAGTGTCTCATGGGTCCCTGTACGGCCTCCCATTGCTGCTGTCTCCATCGCCACACTCTGCCATGTGCCACTTTCAGGTCTCCTCACACTGCTGGTGTGTTCCATTTTTTGTCATAGGGTGCTGGCAGATTACGGGCCTCCCATTGCTGCTGCCAGGCCCGTAATCTGCCATGGGCCCCCGTACCGCCTCCTCATGCTGCTGCCAGGGGTCGACAGTGTCTCATGGGTCCCTGTACGGCCTCCCATTGCTGCTGTCTCCATCGCCACACTCTGCCATGTGCCACTTTCAGGTCTCCTCACACTGCTGGTGTGTTCCATTTTTTGTCATAGGGTGCTGGCAGATTACGGGCCTCCCATTGCTTCTGCCAGGCCTGTAATCTGCCATGGGCCCCTGTACCCGCCTCTTCATGCTGCTGCCAGGTCCACAGTGTCTCATGGGTCCCTGTACGGCCTCCCATTGCTGCTGTCTCCATTGTCACACTCTGCCATGTGCCACTTTCAGGTCTCCTCACACTGCTGGTGTGTTCCATTTTTTGTCATAGGGTGCTGGCAGATTACGGGCCTTCCATTGCTGCTGCCAGGCCCGTAATCTGCCATGGGCCCCCGTACCGCCTCCTCATGCTGCTGCCAGGTCCAGAGTGTCTCATGGGTCCCTGTACGGCCTCCCATTGCTGCTGTCTCCATTGCCACACTCTGCCATGTGCCACTTTCAGGTCTCCTCACACTGCTGGTGTGTTCCATTTTTTGTCATAGGGTGCTGGCAGATTACAGGCCTCCCATTGCTGCTGCCAGGCCCGTAATCTGCCATGGGCCCCCGTACCGCCTCCTCATGCTGCTGCCAGGTCCAGAGTGTCTCATGGGTCCCTGTACGGCCTCCCATTGCTGCTGTCTCCATCGCCACACTCTGCCATGTGCCACTTTCAGGTCTCCTCACACTGCTGGTGTGTTCCATTTTGTCATAGGGTGCTGGCAGATTACGGGCCTCCCATTGCTGCTGCTAGGCCCGTAATCTGTCATGGGCCCCCGTACCGCCTCCTCATGCTGCTGCCAGGTCCAGAGTGTCTCATGGGTCCCTGTACGGCCTCCCATTGCTGCTGTCTCCATTGCCACACTCTGCCATGTGCCACTTTCAGGTCTCCTCACACTGCTGGTGTGTTCCATTTTTTGTCATAGGGTGCTGGCAGATTACAGGCCTCCCATTGCTGCTGCCAGGCCCGTAATCTGCCATGGGCCCCCGTACCGCCTCCTCATGCTGCTGCCAGGTCCAGAGTGTCTCATGGGTCCCTGTACGGCCTCCCATTGCTGCTGTCTCCATCGCCACACTCTGCCATGTGCCACTTTCAGGTCTCCTCACACTGCTGGTGTGTTCCATTTTGTCATAGGGTGCTGGCAGATTACGGGCCTCCCATTGCTGCTGCTAGGCCCGTAATCTGCCATGGGCCCCCGTACCGCCTCCTCATGCTGCTGCCAGGTCGACAGTGTCTCATGGGTCCCTGTACGGCCTCCCATTGCTGCTGTCTCCATCGCCACACTCTGCCATGTGCCACTTTCAGGTCTCCTCACACTGCTGGTGTGTTCCATTTTTTGTCATAGGGTGCTGGCAGATTACGGGCCTCCCATTGCTTCTGCCAGGCCTGTAATCTGCCATGGGCCCCTGTACCGCCTCTTCATGCTGCTGCCAGGTCCACAGTGTCTCATGGGTCCCTGTACGGCCTCCCATTGCTGCTGTCTCCATTGTCACACTCTGCCATGTGCCACTTTCAGGTCTCCTCACACTGCTGGTGTGTTCCATTTTTTGTCATAGGGTGCTGGCAGATTACGGGCCTCCCATTGCTGCTGCCAGGCCCGTAATCTGCCATGGGCCCCAGTACCGCCTCCTCATGCTGCTGCCAGGTCCAGAGTCTCTCATGGGTCCCTGTACGGCCTCCATTGCTGCTGTCTCCATCGCCACACTCTGCCATGTGCCACTTTCAGGTCTCCTCACACTGCTGGTGTGTTCCATTTTTTGTCATAGGGTGCTGGCAGATTACGGGCCTCCCATTGCTGCTGCCAGGCCCGTAATCTGCCATGGGCCCCAGTACCGCCTCTCATGCTGCTGCCAGGTCCAGAGTGTCTCATGGGTCCCTGTATGGGCCTCCCATTGCTGCTGTCTCCATCGCCACACTCTGCCATGTGCCACTTTCAGGTCTCCTCACACTGCTGGTGTGTTCCATTTTTTGTCATAGGGTGCTGGCAGATTACGGGCCTCCCATTGCTGCTGCCAGGCCCGTAATCTGCCATGGGCCCCAGTACCGCCTCCTCCTGCTGCTGCCAGGTCCAGAGTCTCTCATGGGTCCCTGTGCGGCCTCCCATTGCTGCTGTCTCCATCGCCACACTCTGCCATGTGCCACTTTCAGGTCTCCTCACACTGCTGGTGTGTTCCATTTTGTCATAGGGTGCTGGCAGATTACGGGCCTCCCATTGATGCTGCTAGGCCCGTAATCTGCCATGGGCCCCCGTACCGACTCCTCATGCTGCTGCCAGGTCCACAGTGTCTCATGGGTCCCTGTACGGCCTCCATTGCTGCTGTCTCCATCGCCACACTCTGCCATGTGCCACTTTCAGATCTCCTCACACTGCTGGTGTGTTCCATTTTGTCATAGGGTGCTGGCAGATTACGGGCCTCCCATTGCTGCTGCTAGGCCCGTAATCTGCCATGGGCCCCCGTACCGCCTCCTCATGCTGCTGCCAGGTCCACAGTGTCTCATGGGTCCCTGTACGGCCTCCCATTGCTGCTGTCTCCATCGCCACACTCTGCCATGTGCCACTTTCAGGTCTCCTCACACTGCTGGTGTGTTCCATTTTTTTTGTCATAGGGTGCTGGCAGATTACGGCCTCCCATTGCTGCTGCCAGGCCTGTAATCTGCCATGGGCCCCTGTACCGCCTCTTCATGCTGCTGCCAGGTCCACAGTGTCTCATGGGTCCCTGTACGGCCTCCCATTGCTGCTGTCTCCATCGCCACACTCTGCCATGTGCCACTTTCAGGTCTCCTCACACTGCTGGTGTGTTCCATTTTGTCATAGGGTGCTGGCAGATTACGGGCTTCCCATTGCTGCTGCCAGGCCCGTAATCTGCCATGGGCCCCTGTACCGCCTCCTCATGCTGCTGCCAGGTCCACAGTCTCTCATGGGTCCCTGTACGGCCTCCCATTGCTGTTGTCTCCATCGCCACACTCTGCCATGTGCCACTTTCAGGTCTCCTCACACTGCTGGTGTGTTCCATTTTTTGTCATAGGGTGCTGGCAGATTACGGGCCTCCCATTGCTGCTGCCAGGCCCATAATCTGCCATGGGCCCCAGTACCGCCTCCTCATGCTGCTGCCAGGTCCAGAGTCTCTCATGGGTCCCTGTAGGCCTTCCATTGCTGCTGTCTCCATCGCCACACTCTGCCATGTGCCACTTTCAGGTCTCCTCACACTGCTGGTGTGTTCCATTTTGTCATAGGGTGCTGGCAGATTACGGGCCTCCCATTGATGCTGCTAGGCCCGTAATCTGCCATGGGCCCCCGTACTGCCTCCTCATGCTGCTGCCAGGTCCACAGTGTCTCATGGGTCCCTGTACGGCCTCCCATTGCTGCTGTCTTCATCGCCACACTCTGCCATGTGCCACTTTCAGGTCTCCTCACACTGCTGGTGTGTTCCATTTTGTCATAGGGTGCTAGCAGATTACGGGCCTCCCATTGCTGCTGCCAGGCCCGTAATCTGCCATGGGCCCCTGTACCGCCTCCTCATGCTGCTGCCAGGTCCACAGTGTCACATGGGTCCCTGTACGGCCTCCCATTGCTGCTGTCTCCATCGCCACACTCTGCCATGTGCCACTTTCAGGTCTCCTCACACTGCTGGTGTGTTCCATTTTGTCATAGGGTGCTGGCAGATTATGGGCCTCCCATTGCTGCTGCCAGGCCCGTAATCTGCCATGGGCCCCCGTACCGACTCCTCATGCTGTGACGTTGCAACAAGGTGGAATTCAACCCTACATATGTTAGACCGCCTTTACGAACAGCGAAAGGCCATCACAGATTCCTGATGTTACAAGCGGATAAAGGTACTCCCCTGTGTAACTTAGATGTCAGCCATTGGCAGCTCATGCGTGACACCTGCCGCTTGCTCAGGCCCTTTGAGGAGGCCACGCTATTCGTGAGTCGGCAGGACTATGGGATGAACGACGTCATTCCTCTGTTGCACGTCCTGGAACAAATGCTGTTAACAATGGCTGGTCAGGGTGCGGTAGACGTGGCGCACAGATCTCAACGCCACATGACCCCTGTGGGGGCAGGACAGGAAGAAGAGGAGGAGGTAGAGGAGGACATTGGTGCTCAGGAATTATTGAGTGAAATGGGTGGTTTTTCCACTCAGCGGACAGGAGTGAAGGAGCAGGAGCATCTGGTAGAGGAGGAGGAGGAGACAGAGGACCCAGACGCATGCATGCTCGGTTGCTTGCGTAGCGACAGCCGAATAATAACCATCAGACAGAGGGATGACTTTTGGCTGTCCACCTTGTTGGACCCTCGCTACCGTTAAAAAATGGTGGCCTTTTTCACACCTGCTGAGAGGGAGGCCAAAATAACGTACTATAAAAACCACCTATGTAGTCAGTTGGTCTCTGCCTTTCTGCGCCAACGTCCATCCTCAGACACTGTGGGCCCTGTGCGCTCGTGTTCCGCTGCCATGGCAGCAGGGGAGGGGTGGGGTGGTAGGAGCAGTGGCAGCTCCACCAGCAGCGGCTGCCTCAGTCTGCAGTCGATGATGAGTAGCTTTCTTCACCAGCGCAGTGAGGAAACTACTAACCAGCCGCAGCAGCAGCAGCATCAGGTGGACCTGGAGCAGGACCTCAAACAACAGGCTTGGGCCTACTTGGACAGCACCCTGCCAACCGAGGTAGACAATCCCCTTGACTACTGGGCAACGAAACTTGACCTTTGGCCCCAACTAGCTGAATTTGCCCTTGAAAGGCTGTCATGCCCGGCCAGTAGCGTGGCATCGGAGCGCGTGTTTAGTGCGGCAGGAGGTATTGTAACTCCGCGGAGGACACGACTGTCCACCCAAAGTGTGGAGAGACTCACGTTTGTGAAAATGAATCAGGCGTGGATTAGTCTGGATTTCAAACCACCAGTTCCTGACACAACTGACTAAATCCGCCATGAATCATGCACCAAACATGTGCCACTTTCAGGTCTCCTCACACTGCTGGTGTGTTCCATTTTTTGTCATAGGGTGCTGGCAGATTACGGGCCTCCCATTGCTGCTGCCAGGCCCGTAATCTGCCATGGGCCCCCGTACCGCCTCCTCATGCTGCTGCCAGGTCCAGAGTGTCTCATGGGTCCCTGTACAGCCTCCCATTGCTGCTGTCTCCATCGCCACACTCTGCCATGTGCCACTTTCAGGTCTCCTCACACTGCTGGTGTGTTCCATTTTCTCATAGGGTGCTGGCAGATTACGGGCCTCCCATTGCTGCTGCCAGGCCCGTAATCTGCCATGGGCCCCTGTACCGCCTCCTAATGCTGCTGCCAGGTCCAGAGTGTGTCATGGGTCCCTGTACGGCCTCCCATTGCTGCTGTCTCCATCGCCACACTCTGCCATGTGCCACTTTCAGGTCTCCTCACACTGCTGGTGGGTTCCATTTTTGTCATAGGGTGCTGTATGGCCTCCCATTGCTGCTGCCTCCACCGCCACACTGTGGCTCCACACTCTGGTTTTGGCCCCGTGACTGCCCAAATGAGTGAAGTGTGCGGTGATTCTAAGATCGACGGCACTCATCTGCATGTCATACTGACTGACAGTATTATTTCTCTTCCCCAGCAGACTCCAAGGGCATTTAAATTAAAGGTACAGTGTTCTGCACTAATATGAAGGCTCTCTGAAGCCTAGAAACACCCTTTTATAAGTTAAATTTGCAGCGAATATATATTCGCATCGAATCGAATTTATTCCTCGAATTCGCCGAATCAGCCGAATCGAATTTTTGAATACTTCGCTCATCTCTAATTATTACTTATAATATTGTTTTCTAGAAAAACTCTTCTATGGGTTTTTTTCTGAAACTGTCAAATATTTTGATCCCTTATTAAGTATAGTCACCACAGCAGCACAGGAAGTGTCAATGGACATCCAGGAGATATATATATATATATATATATATATATATATGAGAGAGAGAGAGATCACCAATAAGAGGTTTCACTGTGCCCATTCTTTTTTTTGTAACATTTCCAGAGACACATACATGTGATCAACATATTACATAAGAAACAGACATTGTCACTCAACTCGTCTTATCTTCCCTTAGTAGTTGGGCTCACAGGTCCAACTCGATAAGCAGAAAGGCCACCTGTCTGCTTAGTTCAGACGTCTCAGGACAGGGAGAATTTCTGTGCCCCGCACTGCACCTTATAATTTTTCTTTTTTTCTTCAAGAAAGACAGCCAACAGGTTAAGAAATTGATAAAGATAAGAGAGAGAAAAAGGAGGAATAGAAGGGGAAAGAAAAAAAAAAGGGAAGGGGGTTAGTCAGCAAAGAGGGAGCCTATTCGACGCCATACCCCCACAGGCCATCCTAGAGCTATACCAGCTCATAAATCAGGACCGTCTAGCGGACTACACCAACAGAGCAGCGTATTCTTCTGAGTAAATAAATTTCATGCTAGTAGTGCCATTTCCTAAGGAATTTTGTGCGGTCGCCTCTTTTCGTAACCACCATGTCTTCCATCTCATTAATGTCTGTGACTTTTTGCAACCAGATCGAAATGGTTGGTGCCTGTTTTTGTTTCCAAAAGAGGGGGATACGACTCTTCGCTGCCATCAGTAGTATAGCCAGAATGGATCTCCTATAGGACTTGTCAGGGTAGTCATGATGATGCAGTAGGAAGAACGCAGGTTCTCGGGGTAACACATAGTCCATGAATTTCTGAGATATTGGATGCACATCATTCCAGAAAGCCTGCATCCTGTTGCAAGACCAGAAAATGTAAAGTAGGGACCCAGCTTCCTCTTCACAGCGCCAACACAAATTAGTGCATGGAGGGAGCATCCTGTGCAATTTGGTGGGTGTGTAGTACCAGTGTGTCAGCAATTTAAAACCAGACTCCTGATATTTAGAACAGACCGAAGCCTTATATGTGAATTTGAGAATCCTCTCCACCAGCTGGTCAGTAAAACTTAACCCCAAATCTTGTTCCCATTTGACAATGTACGGCAGTTTGTAGGATTAGGGAGGGGCAACCAATAATTGGTAGGAATCGCATGGCGGATCGAGGATTCTCCCGAACATAAGTTTTCAAATGGGGTGAGGTCAGGATTAAAGGCCTCCGCTTCAGGTAGAGCACTAATGAAATGTAACAGTTAAACCTTGTGCCAAAAGTCACTGTGACCATTCTATATCAAAGGGTGCACCCATGGTTCTTGCATCTCCCCACCAAATCAAATCACACCAACATCTGAACATTTCAAATGTCAGTCTAACTTGGTGTGGAGATGTGATTGCTGCTGTTTGATTGGTCTCCTGGATGTCTTTTGTCCTTTCCTCTGCTGATAGGCCCCTAGGTTCTCCATTCTTCCCCTGGTTTTACAACACATGGCATTAACTCCACATGAATAATTAGCAGTTTTTGTATCATTTGTAACGTCTCTATGCCTCCTGAAGAAACCTTTCTGTGAAACGCATTGAGACACACACCCCACCCTTTGTCAAAACAGGATCTGAATAATTTAATTTATATATTGATTTTGACAAATATATCACATGTTGACAGTCCCTGTAGTAATATGTTAAAATGCAGGGGAAGGGGTCGTTTATGTACTGTGTATCTGCCTTCCTTCACGGGGAAGTGCTGTCAATGTAAATGTAACCTTTTTTAACTATATGTTGCATTGGTATGTTCCTTCCTGAGAATATGAGCCCCTAAATAGTCACATTCATTTTTGTTTTCCATTTCTGACATGTAAACTGGAAATGTGGTGCTCTACATACCCACCACTTAGTAGATAATAAATGCCTCAAAGTCCATGCAGTAAGCTTTTACTCAACAACTTGCGGTCTGCTAAGTAAATCCTCAGAGTGTTCACATAATTATGACAATGGTGTATTTTTAGAGAGCATATTGCATGAATTTATTAACATGTATATTTTGAGGTATTTGAACGTTTATTGGGCAGTGCTTCATTGCTACAACAATAATGAAGGCCACTTGACCCTCCTCCCTCTTCCTAGGGAAAGGGAGCCTTGACTGCTGGAAGCTTGGCAGCTATGTGGGCGTAAACCTAAAACAGGGATGTTAAGTGGCTCAGATAGCATTGGCCACCAAGACATGAGGTGACTGGGTGGAGCCTGACCTATAGAAAAAGGCTATGCAGGGATACGTCACACTACTCTGAGGAGATTCAGATGTCACAAGAGTTGTTCATGTCACTACGACCCGTCCCTTCCCTGGCGTTTCTGCTTGAGTTCGCGATGCATACAGATGTGATGATCACTCGGGTCAGGGATCTTCAGTCAAGTGGTCAGGCTGACTGGCTTCTGTGACGATCGCGATGTCAGACCCCTGCCCTTGTCACCAAACTCGTGACCGAAGGACTAGTCAATCTAAAACCGCAATGTCATGTGCTTAACAATGCCACGCCCAGCTGCACCCTGCACGCAGATTTTCCAGCTCACTGGACCACAAATCGATGTACCGGCAGCCTGAGCGCAATTGTTACTGGGTCAGGTTAATTACACAATTAACCCTTCACACTGCCACCACCTCCTTTTTGTACAGAGAAAGAGGAAACTTGGCAATATCAGCAATACCACTATGATCGTTAGATAATAGTCTGTATACCACTGTCACCGCAGACAGGTTATACAGAGGGTTAAACACACACAGTAGCGCTCTTCAGCGGCATGAATTCATAAGTTGCATTAAGGAGCTTTAAAAACAGTTTTCAACACTTTCAGAAAGTAAGATTTATTACTAAAAGGTCAAAAGGGTGCAATAAAAATATTTACAGAAAAAAGATGTAGCCAATATATATAAATACACAGAGAGCAATAACAAAGCAAAAAGGTAACAGAAAGAAGTTTAGAGAGGTAGAGTACTTGCCAAAAGTCCTGGATTAAGCAGATCAAGTTTCAGAGCAAAAGGGCACTGTCTCCCAAGTTGGTTCTGATGTTAAAAGGGAGATTTCTTCAACTTCAACTCTTAGGCCTGACAGCCTATTTTGTACTCCCCCAACAGGGGTGTCTCTGAAGCCAATGACCAATGTCTCATTTGGGGAGGGGGTGTCTAGGCGGAGACCCAAGCTAGAACCAAAATCTCTCATAGCTTATATTTTGGCTCAAGTAACATTCATCCCGCGGGTAGATTAATATGCAGATGCATCTGCAGAACGGTTAGATATGAAATACATACTTGAATGGTTCAAGAGATGTAATTTTCTGCTTTTTTCCTATATATTCCAGCCAAGGAGTGTGACATATCAAACGATTTGTCTTCTTGTGACCAATCTGAAGATATGCCTGGTTTTTTTATGTACAGTAAGTCTCTCATATTCCAAGATATGAGACATAGGGGAAAATGGATTTTAAAAGTGGTATCTAGTTTATGACTCCTCTGGAATGTCTTTAAACTCAGGGGAAGGCTTGGGTTATACTTTTACGAGGTGCCAGATTGTACAGTTTCTTAGACAGCCTGGCACCCAGCTCAGAGAGGTTTTATAGCTCGGAGCTTCCTGCTGTGCTCTGGCCTGCCTGTGACAATTCCAACACACACCGACCACATGTCACTGTGGATCTCAGAGAGAGGGGGGGATGTGGAAAGATATATTTGTACAAGATGGATGATACTTTGCCAAGATGGAGGCTGGAGCAAAATGGTTGATCCGCGTCCATCTCTGTAGGTACGATTGCTACAGCTTATTCCTCTCCTCAATGGTGAGACATTTGCATCTGCTCCCCTCCCACTGACCTTTCTAGGGCTGCCTGGTTGCCTTAATCCAGGGCTAGTAGGACCACCCTCCAGACCTCAGCTTGGGTGGCCAGGTCTGGATTCCCTGATGGGGCCACTGGTGCTGATGGCACTGGCTTCTCCCCTCCTCCATCCCGCCTCTCTGCTTATGGCTCCCAGAGCACTTCCTGCTGCAGCCGCGTCTCTCACAAGACATCCTCTGCAGCCTGTCAGCATCTCCCCCACTCTAGGAGTCCCAGAACCATACCTTTGGGTGCAGGTCATTCCCGGATGCCAGCCTTGCCTTCTCTGATGCCCACTCCTGCTCCGGTCCTAGGTCCAACTAAGCACCCGATGGTCACTCTGAAAGAGCTCCAGCAATTCTCTGAGTTTCGTCACCGCTTTATTGGTGGTTTTACCTTGCCAGCAGTTTATATTGCTTTATGTTCTATGCCCTCAAGTTTAATTTTGGTGTCAGTTTAATGCCTGTCTGGCACTGATGGTGAAGACAGGCCTCTTAGACTATTTGTGTTTTTGTTATGGATGCTCAATGACTGGCATTATTATATGGTTTCTTGACTGTTGTTGCATTTTGGAAAGTTAAATAAAGCTGGGGCCTTGCCCTAGTTCCAACTTAATCAGCCTCTGTGTCTTTTTGAGGGGCAAGGATTTTTGTTATGTTAGTGGTCAAAATGCACCTAGGCTTCTCAGCAGTCATGTGCTTCTGCTTGTTCCTGACTGATTATATTGCATTCACAACAGTAAAGGATCACTCAATACTTGTGGGCCTGTGTGAACTATCTGCTGGTGGCTAGTAAACATCAAATTTGTCCACAAGCTGATAAGGACAAGGGCCTCCTCCCCACAAGTCTGGCCCAGTTGTCGTGGGGGTCTGCGTCAGGGGCTTATTGGAACCTGGAAGCCCTCTTTA